ACCTATTGTAATTCCAATACATCAAGCAAAAGAACTGTCGATTAAAATTGTGATGATATTTCACACCAAGCTTCACAATTTCGTTTTGAATGTGTTATCATAAGTTGTTACGACAACAYAAAAGCAGCTTTTGTGATTGCTTTAACTATGGTTAGGTTAGTTTAGATCAGTTCAGTTTAGGTTAGGTTGAAAGTTTGATCCTAAGAAGGATCTCATTTGTTCAGCTTAGGAAGCCGAACGATTTGCTTGACTGTCATTGGATGTGACACCATGAAATCCGAATGCAATAAAAGAGCGCAACACCGCATCGAATCTTTAATGTAAATATGAGGAACTTACCAGGAACCACTAGTATTTGCATATTTTATGATTACAGATAAGATTATACAATAATAATAATAATAATAATACTTAAAACCAAATACCGATAAATAAATTGAACTCTATTCTTTCGCTTCCATACCCTTTGCAGGAGTTGCACGTGTGTTGGGCAATCGTTTGAAATTGGGCGAGAAAATCGTCGTTTCCAACGGTGATAAAGCCAGCGGCAGTGCCTTAAAATACGATGTCGAAGTTCGTGATGCGGATGTGGTAAGTTGCTCTCGCCAAACTTGAAAGATATTCACTAGTCTAGAAATTATAAGAAAACGAAAATATATATTTTTTTTGGTTTTCAAATCTGAAAAAAAAAACGAAAAAGTAGAGAATCTTCTCTTTGAAAATTTCCATTTGAGCTGCGGGTTGTCGGTGGCACTCAGCACCCGCCGGCGCGTGCCACTCAAGAAATGTTTGGTTAAAGTGTTTGCTTCCATGGAATTTTATATTTGCTTATAAATCTGCCTGCATATATACATATGTATATGTCTGGTTACGCGACACTTGTAAAGTTGTTCACTAACTTTTTCGTTTGTTTGCGTTTACTTTACAGATTCAATTATTGAAATCATTCGATATATTTAGCGGTTCAACGTATCGAGGACATTTGGTTGTGCGCAATCATTTACAAGTGGATAAGTTTACTAACTTGGTGAGTAGAAAACCTCATGTACCACAAACACAGTTGTGGTCAAAACAATAGAAGCGCTGCTTCAAAATGTATATAAAAGGGTGATGAAGTTAGAATTGATAAAAGACTTCGATAGTCCGTGTAATATTATTTAAGATGAATGGCTTAAGGGATACGGCCAGTCTAGAAACCTCAAAAAGGGCTTAGAATACAGATTCAAGGGAAGCGCATTTAAAGTTTTATGACAAACCCGAAWKTTTAGACACTATAGTGAGAATATTATTTTTACATCATTCTACTAGTTGATTATTGTTTGGTCATCGAGTTTTGAAAATCCGTGTTTGGTCTGAATCATATTCCGCGAAATGTCACAGAAGAGAGTCAGGAACCGTTAGGCATTTTGGGATCAAAGAAGCAATGCGCGATATTTGGGACTGTGGTCTCGCAGATAAAATAAATAATTGTGAATTATGAACCCGTCCCCGAATTAATCTCCGACATATACATATGTATATATATACATTATGATATAAATGATGATGATGATGAACCAGATTGCTCTCATAAAACACGAGATACAGACCACTAAGGCTTATCAGTAGGAAAAATAATGGGTTTCTTTTACTAGACTTCGTGTAACCTCAATTTTTTCTTTTTCGAAGTTTTTTTTTTTGAAGAAAAATATTATATTTCGTTTTTAGGTTTTACACTTTTTTCGAACTCAACTGTGTGTACATGTATAATATATCGCTCTGTATGTTTAAAGTAACATTAGTACGGGCTTATGTGTGTTTGCAAGAGTATTTGTGAAAGTTGCCAGCCACTTGAGGCATTGGCTGGAAATAAGCGCATTTATGCTACTTTTTGCAAAGCAAAGAAAGTAACTGTAACTGTTATATTTATTGGCAGTTTAAATTCGCATTTGCTTGCTATATGCACACATACAAACATGAATTTATAATTTCTGTATATTTCTTCCGAAAAATTATTTATAATTCTCTTTTCCGTTGTGTCCTTTTCTTTGCTGCCGCCTCGTCACCTCGTTAGCTCGCCAAAAATATTTCGAAATGTTCGAGTGCCCTTGAACGCATGTCTACGGTTAAACTATTTACGTGCCGTCTCACATCCAAACAGTCTTTGGGGCGCAAGCTACTCGAGCATTATGCGGTGACGCCCATATTCGAGGCCGCCACCGGACGTTATGCGTGTCAGATTGAACTGTCGTCGAATTTCAATGAAGTACTCAGCATTGTGAAGACTAATGATGTCCACTTCGATTTGGAGGTACGCTGCTTTAATTTTATTTTATTGTATTTATGTTGTATACTATATTTGTTTTTATGTTTGTTGTTCGCTCGCGTTGCAGGCTCAGCTGCCGAACGGTTTATCGGATGTTATGTCATTGAAATTTGTGCCCGGTGTGCGTGTTACACCGGAAGCGCTGCAGGCGACCGAGTTGCACGAACAAGATTTAACAATCACTGGACTGGATAAAGTGCTGCAGAAGGTGGAGGTAAGTGGACGCACACGTACACATTTATGCTTACATATTCAGTCTTATACACTTTTATAAAGTATTTTATATCGGTTTAAGAAGTGGTGCGCGAGACATGCTTGCTTAAATTGAAGAATTTTGGCAAAAAGTATATTTTKCAACACCCTTGTGGTGGTTCATTTGTGTTCATTGTGTGAAAGATTACACAAATCAATGATCAAAGATGATTAGTTATGGAATTTATAATATTTTTCGCATAAAATTATTGACATCAGTTACTTGTTTTTGAAAAATCATATTTTGTGTTCTAACATAAAGCTTAAGGTTTAATGGCTGCTCTGAATCGGARCATTTGTTGTATAGAGTAACATTGTCCAACAAACAACGTAGATATTTGGATTCCTCAAGTARCGTTGTGTGGCTGACTGTGTCAAAGGCTTTTGACCAATCCAACGGTGGTTTGCTAGACTCAGGACCTCAAATGTCTATACTACTGGGGAGAGGCGAGTTATCGGACGATAGGACTCCCTCAGACGTTTCAGTAACGAGACCACTTCCGATTTTTTGCACATCGGGTATTTGAAGAGTGGTCAGCGACAGGTTGAGTACCTTGATGAGAAAGCTTACTCCCGTCGAGCCTATGTGCTTTAGTATCAGCATGTTTATACATCCATCCTGGCCCATGGATTTATAAGATTTTGTTTAATTGATGACACTTCGAACCTTCTCATCGGTGAAAGTAAGTGGTCGCCGTCTTTTGATATCTTGCGCAGTCATCAGATAACACGTCGTTTGGCTTTGTCTACCGAAGAGTGCATTGTAAATACCGGTTAAAATAGCTCACGCAATTTTTCGGTCCGAAAAGGAATGGCCATTGGATTGAAAATCAACTCGGTCATCATGTCTTTTCGAGTTGGACAAAGCGTTGACAAAGTCGGGAGGTTTCTCCATCGAGATAATTATAGGAAGATGGTCTGATACGAGAGTTAGCACAGGTCCCTAGGGGATTCTATTTATCAGACCACCACTAGCGACGGTAATATCGGGTGAGCTATTATAGATGYCCATAATTCTGGTGAGGGCTTCGTCCTTCATTGTGAAGAATGTCGAATCGTCTATTTGTKTCGTCAGCTCCATTCCCCTACGATCATTTCACAGTTAGCAATGCCAAAGATTATGATGCGATTTAAAGTCGCCTAGTACCTAACGGTTTTTACCACGTAGTAACATACCTATGTTCTGACTGATCAGAATGGACCATTGTGGAACTTTGTTGGCCACTCGGTTGGAGTGGCAGCGCAGTGCCCGAACTTGGTTGCAGCTTTGGATTGGCAGCATGAGGCCACGTAACTAGTGGTCTACACCCGGCGTCTTAAGTCCTGACCAGATCTTAAGTTGGCTCCATCCATTGCATATATTACAACTAACCAAAGTGGCGAGGTCTCCGCTCCTCGATTTATGTCTGAAAAAAACAGCCCTTGGTCGGATAAAATCCGGATAAATTCCGATAACTTAGAACCGGCTGTCGTAGGAATGGTTTTGTTCTCCTAAACGTCATCTAAAACTAATCAAGATAAACATAGAATATACATATTGCACCATATATAATATTAAGATTAGCGAAATCGGTCGATTGCCACGTCCAAAAAGTTCCGTTAAGCGACACCGTCCACCTATAGATGAAACCTATTATATATCAGAAACTTCTTCACTAATTTCAACCATATTTGGTTTGTAAAATTACTCTAACATTTCTATTATATATACTACAATAAAAACCACGCCTACTTCCCAAGCTCCAAAAAAATTGTCCAAATCGCAATATAGCTTTTCAAGGACCCGACACCAAATATCTAAACTCCAGTGCTTTTGGTGGGTTTTTTTTTTACCGAATCTATCGGTCAATCTATGAGGTCTTGAATTTAAATTCGTGGAGAAGATTTGTGACAAATATGGGTTTTGTCGAGTCAATATATCCCTTACCCTCCATATACCTAATAAAAATATTTTCGAATTTCCATTTACAGACTATTAAATATTTTATACTTGGCCATTGCGCTGCTTAACCACTCGGAAAAAAATATGTGTTTTAGTTAAAATCTTGGACGAAAAAAAAAAAAAATTAAAATTGGATTTTTGGCAAACATTTTTTTCTGATTTCTAGCTTCTTCTCTGTTTTTTCAGCACCGCTCTGCAGTGGCCCCCCTTTTTAATTGATTAGTAAGAACTTAGTTTGTGCTCATACCACTGAAAATTGATTTGAGAAGTTAAAAAGCCTCGGGCGCTCAATCTACACATTTAAGACATTTCTTMTATGGCGGAAAGATATCTTTTCCATTCGCTTTGGCAATAAATTCAAATTGAAATTCTTTGCTTTTGTGCCAGCATCCTGAAGTTAATTTCTGCTCTGCACGCACACATACCGTGCGTCCTTGTGTATGTGTGTGGGTATGTGTGTGGGTATGTGTATATAAGTAAGTGTGTGCGCTTGGAGCTCGTGCTTTTTCCGTTTTGTACTTAAGTTTATTACAATTTGCAAGTGACATACTTTTAGGCGACTATTTAAGTTCGGAGAGAGAGAAACAAGCTTGCGATTGCATTTGATTTACAACTTTATCAATCTGCCATTAAAATGCGTTTAATCTTGGAATGTACTTTTTGCCAGATTAAAAATACAATAATGCAAAAAACAAAAACAAAAAAAAAAAAAAATGCGAGGAAAACTGAAAATAAATCGTATTTTCACTCAAAGCATTTGTCTCTCGCAGTTCTTTGGAAATGGCTCCATTCCGATTGCCCGCCATCGCTTGCTGCGCACCCCTCCTTCCCGTTTCACTCTTCATAAACTGAAATGGCAAAGTCAAGTAATGAAATACTTTTGAATAAGTTAAATGTTGAAAGTTTGCTTGTTCGTAAAGTATCTAGTGAATAAGCGCAAATAGCTAACAAAAATCTGTAAAAATAAATCGAAAAAAATCGGACTTTCCAAAATCTTGAAATTCTCAATTTATCAGTCAGTCAGTTACAGTTACAGTTCAAGTTGCAGTTGCAGTAGTTGTTGTTGTATTTGTTTTTAACTTATTTGCAATTATTGGTGTTGTTGCTGCTACTGAAGTGGACTTTGTTGTTGTTGTTGCGGCAGCTGACGTTGACATTGTTGTTGTTGTTGCTATTTGCAATTGTTGTTGCTAATTGGAGTTGCTTTTGTTGTTGCCGTTTCTATAACTTCCATTTGTTTTTGTCATTGCTGCTTTAGTTGACTTTTTGTTATAATTTTTGTTTTTGTTGTTATGTACAATTCTTGTTCCTTCTTCTTCCGTCGACTTTGTTGTTGTTATTTGCAGTTATTGTTTTTGTTGATGTTGCTGCTGACAGTTGTTGTTATTTTTATTATTTGTATTTGTTGTTGTTTCTACTCGTCGTTTGTTGTTGCTTTATTTATTGTTTTTGTTCTGCAAAAACTACACACGAATTGGCCGACCGACAATATCCCGAACAGCTGCCAAGGCCTCCCAATTCACTTGAGATCAGTGAACATCTGCGCGCTGCCATAACTACCGTTATACACATAACATYTTTCTGTATTTCGCGTAATTTTCTACACTTATTCTTCTGTAGCGGCGAGACGTGACGTAGAAACCCCGATTTATCTATGTATGTGTATGTGCTTCTGCTGTTTGCATGTGTGGGTGTGTGCGTATGTCACATCCGTTAATACATTCGCACATTGAAAGCTATGCACATATTTTTTCCGAATGGAAGTTTTTCTATGTCTGTGCAAAATTAAATTGATGCCGCATGCAACACAAGAGCTCTGCAGAAGAAACGGATATAAAAAATGCATACAAAAAAGAYGCCGGATATACGCTGAAACGGAAATGTGGGCTCAAGATGAATGTTGACTGAAGTTCTATTTTTCAACGGAAAACGTTATTTSAATATGCCTCGAACTGTCTTGTTTKCTCGTTTTGACGAATGCTTTAAAGGCAAAATTATTCGAGGAAAATGACTGCGAATTTCTCTGCTTTAGTGATATTTGGGGCTTTATTTGAGACTTCGCATTTGAAAAGAAAATATGAAAGCTCTTGAGAGATAAGYAAATTCAACCAAATTCTGAAATAGCTTTCTTAGTAATTTCTCAAAGCTTTCTAATTTCATTTCGTCTACAAAAGRTGAGCATCGTTTCCAAAACTGAAAATGGGTACTTACATATGTATGTATAAAGAAACTTTGATACAGCTATAGTAAGTTTAGCATGACTACAAGTGTGCAATGTCTATATCGGAAGTATATAAATATTATTCTTACAGATTATGTATGGTGATAAAGTAACATAAAACTTAATTTTTCGCACTTGTGTGTCAAYAGTGACGTGGGAGCCAAGTGGCGAGTCGGACGACTGTTTGTGCGATGACAGGAGATATTTCGTCTTGCTCTCGTTACTCTTATAGAAGATTGTACCTCCTCGATTAAGTTCTGCAGCTCGRATTATTTTCTCCAATAGCAGATTGAAGAAGTCGCATGAAAGATATTCGCCTTGTCTAAAACCTCGTTTCGTATCGAACAACTCGGGTCTTTCCGATCCTGMCAGAGCTTTTGGTATTGCTCAWGGTCAGTTTRCACAACCCTATTAGTTTTGCGGGGATACCAAATTCAGACATCGCGGCATAAAGRCTGAAACATGCKCCTTACCAGTTTTTCGCCACYGTGTTTGAATAGCACKSCCGGAAATATATCGGCCCCCGCCGATTTGTTGTTCTTCATACGCGCAACTGCTATTCGAACTTCTTCATGGTCGGACAATAGAGCATCTGTTCCATCGTCATCAATTGTGGAATGAGGTTCGCCTTCTACTGACGTTGTATACTTTCACTGCCATTCAGCAGGCTCTGAGATCGGTTACCGGATCACAATGATTTCGGTTGCAGCTGTACGTAAGGAGCTTGAAATGCCGTTCCACAGTTCCCTTATACCGAGTTGTTGCTGAGTCCTCTCAAAGAGCAGATGTGCAAGCCGGG